TGTGATGAAGCATGTATCAAAATATTGAACAACAACACAACATTTTGACTCCTGTCCCGCTATTTGCCCAGAGGCAAATGAGGCCAGTGTTGTGGCCATCACCCAAGCCAGAGAAAGGGTCCTGGCTTCAGGCAAAGGTTGGATGAAAGACCCTCAGAAAGACTCTAGAAGGGGGCAAATCATTCATTTCTCTGTTGCCAGCCTTTAAAACACACTCTTCCTCCTGGATGGGATTACAGACATCCGCTCTGATTGTGATCTGGAAATGATCCATCCCCTAACACCGGTTGGGATTCTGGCCTTTGATCTTGAACATGTTTCTATCCTTCCAAGGGAATTTTTACTCTTGCTTGGATTTTTGTCCTTCCTTATATAAGGCTGATCACTTTCTCTCTCTCTTTCTCTCCGCAGAAAAGGCCAGAATTCTGTCTGTGGTGAAGACAGACAACAGCCTTGCATCCAAAGAAACCCTGGGGAGTCCCACAAGAGGATCTCAAGAGAGGATTTCCTTCCCAGGTGGGCTGGCTGAGAGTGGGGGTGTCAAGGGAACGGGCAAGGAATACCAATGGGACTTTTCTGCTTCGCTTCTAAATGACTCTTAGTAGGAAGCCCACTAGGCAAAGCAGGAGGGAGGCCTGGTTTGGAAGCTCCTTCTGGGGAAGAGTTTGTCTGTGGCTCTTTTTTTTTTGTATAAAGTTTTATTTCCCTCTCCTAAAAAGGAGATAATTTCGCTTTACTTAGAAAAATAGGGAAGTGATATAGAGGGATAAAGTAAAGTGTTGAGTGATGTTAAATATTAGTAAATTAAACATTTCTAATTTAAAGTTAAAGTCAAAGTTTTTTCTGTGGATAGGTGATCTTTTTCTTCTTCAGCTTTCAAAAAGGTAATTAATATGTTAGTAATGTCCTTTTGGGGTTAGAATTACTTTTACAGCATAGTCCAAAACAGTTAATTCTTGGGGCCTTTCCCTTTTTTGTCTCTCAAATGTCTGTGGCTCTTGAAAGGCCGTGGTATGCCAAAATCCTGGATACTCTTGGAAAAGGTGGGGGGTCAGTTAAGGACAGCAAAGCTGGATGAGGCAAACGGGCCGTCAATCCTTTCCTACTTCAGAGTTTGTGCTAATACCAAGTGCTAACGCTATCTCCCTCTTTATTCCAGCAGAGGATGATCCGGGAAACGAGGAGGCTGAGGAACTTCACCCACAATTTCCAGATGAAGTTAATAATGAAGGCTTGAAAGGAAACATCAAGAATCAAGGCAGACCTATGAGAAAGAACAACAGCCATTTGGTAAAGAAGAGAGATGGAATAATGCGTAATTTGCACTTTCCAAAGCACAATATAATGAAGACAAGTAAACCCATTCAGCATGGAAAGTACTTCAAATATAGATCACAGTTTCTTGAGAATCAAGGAATACGAACCGGAGAAAAATGTCTTGAATACTCAAAGAAATTCAGTTCGAATGGCAATTTTCAAGGTTGTAAAAGAACCCTCACAGGGGAGAAAACTTTTGACTGTTCAGTGTGTAGAAAGAGGTTCAGTACAAGTGGCAATCTTAAAGTGCATAAAAGAATCCACGCAGGGGAGAAACCGTTTGAATGTTCAGTGTGTGGAAAGAGATTCAGTACAAGTAGCAATCTTCAAGAGCATAAAAGAACCCACACACAGGAGAAACCTTTTGAATGCTCAGAGTGTGGAAAGAGATTTAATCATAATCGCGGTCTTCAACAGCATAAAAGAACGCACACAGGGGAGAAACCATTTGATTGCTCAGAGTGTGGAAAGAGATTTAATCATAATCGCGGTCTTCAACAGCATAAAAGAACGCACACAGGGGAGAAACCATTTGATTGCTCAGAGTGTGGAAAGAGATTTAATCATAATCGCGGTCTTCAACAGCATAAAAGAACGCACACAGGGGAGAAACCATTTGATTGCTCAGAGTGTGGAAAGAGATTTAGTCTTAATGGCAACCTTAAAAAGCATGAAAGTACCCACACTGGGGAGAAACCGTTTGAATGTTCAGAGGGTGGAAAGAGATACAGTAGGAGTGGCAGTCTTCAATATCATCAAAGAACTCACACAGGGGAGAAATCTTTTGAATGCTCAGAGTGCGGAAAGAGATTCAGTCAGAGTAGCAGTCTTCATATTCATCAAAGTACCCACACAGGAGAGAAACCGTTTGAGTGCTCAGAGTGTGGAAAGAGATTCAGTCAGAATGGCATTCTTCTATCTCATCAAAGAACCCACACAGACAAGAAAGAGTTTGAATGCTCAGAGTGTGGAAAGAGATTCAGTACGAATGGCAGTCTTCATTATCATCAAAGAACCCACACAGGGGAGAAACCTTTTGAATGTTCCGAGTGTGGAAAGAGATTCAGTAGGAGTAGCAGTCTTGTATCTCATCATAGAACCCACACAGGGGAGAAACCTTTTGAATGTTCCGAGTGTGGAAAGAGATTCAGTAGGAGTGGCAGTCTTCTGTCTCATCATAGAACCCACACAGGGGAGAAACCTTTTGAATGCTCAGAGTGCGGAAAGAGATTCAGTATGAGTGGCAGTCTTCTATATCATCAAAGAACCCACACAGGGGAGAAACCTTTTGAATGTACAGAGTGTGGAAAGAGATTCAGTAGGAGTGGCAGTCTTCTATATCATCATAGAACCCACACAGGGGAGAAACCTTTTGAATGCTCAGAGTGCGGAAAGAGATTCAGTACGAGTGGAAGTCTTCAGTATCATCAAAGAACCCATACAGTGGCGGAACCTCTTGAACGTTCAGAGTGTGGAAAGAAATTCGGTCAGAGTAGTCATCTTGAGGAGAATAAAAGAACCCACACAGGAGAAACCGGGGGTAATTTTGTAGAAAAAGAACTGCAGGAGCTTATTACCATACCCAATAAGCTATTAGCATAATAGCTCATTAGCATATGCAACACCCCCTGACGTCACTGGAAGTGATGTCAGAAGGGGAAGCAAAAAGGGGGGGAGACATCTTCAAAAACCTTCCCTTCCCCAGCCAGCCTGCCAAACCCCTTCTCTCTGGAGTTGTACTGCAGCGGCAGCACAATCTTTCCATTGTATTCTATAGGGCCACAGAGTACAATGGAGAGATCACGCTGCTGCTGCTGCGCCGTGACTCTATAGAGAGAAGAAGCTTGGGGGCAGAGAGCTGGGGGCAGGGGTTGCCACCACTGCCATTAGTGCCCGCTTCTGGGTTGCCGGAGCGGTGCTCTGGTGTGCTCCGGGCCTAAACGACCCCTGGGAGAAACCATTTGAATGTTTAGAGTATGGAAAGAGATTCAGTACGTGTAGCAATAATCAGCATCATCAAAGAATCCGCACAGGGAAGAAACCTTTTTAATGCTCAGAATGTGGAAAGAGATTCAGTCAGAGTGGCAGTCTTTAGTATCATCAAAGTACCCACGCAGGGGAGAAACCTCTATAATGTTCGAAGTGTGGAAAGAGATTCGGTACGAGTCGCAGTCTTCAATGTCATGAATGAGCCTATGCATTGAAGAAATGTTTTGAATGTTCTGAATGTGGAAAGAGATTCAGTATGAGTGACAGTCTTCAAGATCATCAAAGAACTTACACAGAGGAGAAACTGTTTGACTGCTCAGACTGTGGGAAGAAATTCAGTATAAATGGCATTCTTCAGAGGCACTGAAGAACCCACACGGGGGAGAAACTAGGGTTGTGCAGGGGGGGGGAATCAGCAATATTCAGAGTTGGGACTATTTAGGAGCATCATATTCGAGACTCCCAAATACACAGCTCCATTATACCCTATGGGCCATTAAAGTCGATGACAAAATCTCATCGGTTATAATCTCAGGGCTGGGGGGCAGGGGGTTTGAGGGTGGGGCTCCAAACTTGCAGCGCAGCTGCTGGAATCTCTCCCCAAAAGAACCCCCATGTTTCAGAAATATTGGACTGGGGGTCCCATTCTATGGGCCCCCAAACAGGTTGGCCCTATCTCCTCCATTGTTTTCTATGGTGGGAAAAAATGTCAATTTTCCCATGGTGACTTTAATGGGCTTGGGGGAGGGGGTTTGAGGGAGAGGCACCAAATTCACACCATGGCTGCTAGAGCTTCTCCCCACATGAACTCCCAAGTCCCAAAGACATTGAACCAGTGGGTCCAATTCTGTGGGCACCCAAATAGGTGCCCCCCCTCCCTCCATTCTTTCCTGAGGGGATAAATAAACCTCACCACGCCAGTAGACACACAGCAAGGCAGGTAGCCAGGCACCCAGCAGGGAGACATTCCCAGAGAAACTCAGGGAAAGTGAACTGTTGAGAGGTTTCTTCTTTGCCAGGAGCCAAACACTGTGGAACGAGTGCCACAGTGGCAGTGCAAGTGCCCCACAGAAACACAACAGGACCAGCGTCAAATCAGAGAATCTCTGTCTTACTAACTTGGGGAGGGGGGCTTTCTGAAAGGACAGCAGAGTCAGTGCATTGAATGCAGTAGTGCCAGCATAGCGGCAGAATCCTGTGCCTGCCGGCGCCAACCTGTATGGTTTTACTGCATTCAAAAGCTTCAAGCTAGGCAATTGCCCCCCCCCCCATTTTATGTAGACCAGGGGAAACTGGGAAGCCAAGGGTCGGTGGCAGAGTGTTCCACACGGCCTTCTCGAACGTCTCTCCCCGACACCACCCTAGTTTGTACCTCACCGGTAAGATCACATGGACTCCTTGGGGGGTCTCCAAAGTATAAACCACATGGCATGCTCGAAGTGAAGAAGGCGCACTGCTTTCCCCTGGGTCAGCCTGCAGAGATTTCATGGCAAGTCTCACACTGACCTTTCCTTCCTGTGTTTACACTCTCACTATCCCTTTAATGTGTAGAATGGAGATCTCGGGGAAAGAACTTCCTTCCTTCCATTCAGCTCTACCCCACATACCACCTGCCTCCACCCTTAGCTAGTAAGCTTACTCTATCCTATCTCTCGTCTTTCCTATCCAGATTGTAGTTCTAGTACAGTAAAGAGACTAGGATTAGTCTATTAAATTTAAAATGTGCCTCTGTGTACCTGTCAGCTAGGCCTCTTGCCTGGCTGTCATTGTCATGGAGATGGGGGGGGTACTTTGGAATGATTACTTTTGTTTCTGCTGAGACTAAACTGGTTTTATTATTTGTCTGATATACTAAATGACCTTGGGTGGTGTAGTATTTCTCTTGGGAAATGTTGCCTGTTACTTTGGCAGGCTTCTGTAGGCTACCTGATTGGCCGTGGGCCATCAGGGGCCTGCTTTGAATTATGTATATCCATTTGCTTCATGTGCTTTCTTTTTAGTTCTAAGATGGACTGGTTATGATATCTGCATACTTTCAATGTCTCCATAAAGCTTTACTTCTTTGAAGGAAAGTTGTTGGGAACTGATTGCTGAAGGAGTCTGACAGTACCTTTGTGGCACTCTAGGCCTAACTACCTGGTTGGATCGCCAACTTCTTCCCAGCAGCTGAATCCAGTGCTATTGTGGGAAATGTCAGCTCTACAGGACTGAGGATCCCCTTTACCCCTTGTCAAGTAGTCCCGAGAAGGACTGCTTGTCTGGCTGATGGTCTATGTGGGCAGCACTGGGCAGTGTGGACAGGGGATCATGAGATTGCCTAGCTGTTCTAGTTCTTTGGCATTACCCAGGGTGCACCACAAGGAGGCGAGCTAGAGCAGCACCCCAAACGAAAGACTTAAATTCTAGGTAGTGGTATTTAGTGGGGCTGCTGCCCAGTCAGTCCACAAATCCAGTCAGTCCATGGAGTCAACCCAGGGAGGGCCTCAGAAAGTGAGAGGGAGGGGTCATGTGTGGCTGGGGAACATGGTAATTTCTGGGAGATCTCCAGGCCCCACAAGGAGATTGGCAATTCCAGTGACTGTTTGAGGTAAGATTGGGATATGTATTTTACCTCAGGACATACTCGATGACTCCCAACACCAACAGCAAACCGTTTAGAATGTTAGAGGCAAATGCCAATCAGGCCGCATATGCAAATGACCTCTGTGTTCCTACTGGCTCTTGGGGGAGAGGAACAGCAAACTGTTTGTAGAATATTGGAGGCGAGGCTCAGGAAACACAGCCAGTGGATAGGGACACCTTCTGAGTGACAGATCAGGGAGCTAACTGATTTGGGAGCATGTGGAATATTCTGGAGAGTGCCACCACCAAAACACAATCTGCCATACTGATCACTTGTTTGAAGTAGTTAGGAGATATGTCCTCTTTTTTTGTTTTTCAAAATATGGTAACCCTAGAGGAGAGTATTTGGTGTGGGCGTGCATCAGGTGTAATGTGGCTGTGTGTGAGGTGTAGTTGCAGCATAAGGAGTTGCCCACTGAGGCAGGCGGTGTCTTGAGGGAACTGAGATTGTTTCAGTGCCATCCTAAGTAAGTCTACTCAGAATCCCACTCACTAGGTCCATTCAATGGGGCTTACTTGTAAGCTGTCTTGAACCACAAGGAAAGGTGGGTGTAAATGTTGTAATAAGTAAATAAACTGTTCTTTTTTAAAAAAATAAACTGTTCTTAGAAGAGCACCATTTGATGTTGGGAGAGCATGGAGATATATTTTTGTAGGAGGGTAGATTTGGGGCGCTC